AGACAGGTGAGTCTAACATGCAGAAGAGAATATGTTTGATAGCTTCGCCATAATTCCACGCAAAACAGCATTTGGGCCATGCCTTAAAACTTATTTTAAAATACGTATAAAATAACGAATTATGTTAAAAGTAGAAAAAATATTATAACAAACAAACATGAAACAGCAAAGAAGTGTATGCCTCTATTCCTTTCCATAAGTCATTTGCCTTTTGGTTAATGTAACCATTGTCACCACTCCAAAAAGTCTGGGTCCTTATCGGGATCATGCACATGTGGAGGGAGCAATAGTAAGGTTATGTAACTATACTTGACGTCTACAAACCTGATTAGAACAGGTCACACAGGTGGGATTTCAATGAGCAGTTATGCTCCAGCTTGACATTCTTGATTTATATAGGTGATAGCAACCAAATTATACCTTACTAAAGTTTTAACTAGTCATTTTAATGTAGTCCAACCCTATTTAATAAATCAGTAGACAGAAAACACCTAGTGGATAATAATAACTTAAGAAGAATTTTACACAATTTTACAAAAGATGTTTTTCCACCAAAAGTTCCAGGAACTTTAATTTCCCAAGAGCCTTCAAAGGTGTAAAAGTTCCTCCAGCACATTGCACTTTATGTTTCCACAGCAGGGTAAACCAAGGAAGATTAAACTAATTAGTCTGCTAATGTACCAAAAGCATGATGGTTGCCTTTCAGGTCATTTGTATAAGTGAAAATATAGTGTGATGAAAAACCTCTCTATCTGGAAGTGAATTGACCTATTTCACAATGATATCAATTGCAAACAGTGCATTGCATTCTGGCATTGATAGAGAGTCTTCTCAGCAAAATCACAATAGCAAGACTGAAAGAGTGCCCACAAATATTGTACAGGATAGTGATATACAGCACCTTATCCAGTGGCTCAAGTTCAGGTTAGCAGAAGTGTTAATGAAGTTAGAGATGTGGTAGCATTAGTGCGTCTGTCAGTGTAGTGTACAGTGCATTAGTGCATACATGTAGCTACTGCTATCTTAAAACAGCATTTGTTTAATGTTTCAGGCAGTTCATGATTATACAACCCCAAATCAGAAAAAGTTGGGATAGTATGTAAAATCTAAATTAAAAATGAAAGTAGTGATTTGTAAATCATCTGTGTCCTGTATTTCATTGAAAGCAATACAGCAGCACATTATTTGATGATACCTCATCAATTTTATTCTTTGTTCAAAATAAACACTTCCTTTGTGACGCTTGCAACACATTCCAAAAAAGTTGGGACAGTAAAGCATTTATCGCGATATGATGTTGCCATTCCTTTTCACAACACTTAAAAGACATTTAGGGACTGAAGACACCAAGTGATTAAATGTGTCTGGTGTAATTTGGTCCCATTCTTCCTGCAAACAAGTCTTAAGGTGTGCAACAGTTCTGGGTTGTCGACGCAATTTGTGTTTCAAAATGTGCCACACATTCTCCATTGGGGACAGGTCAGGACTGCAGGCAAAGCCAGTCCATCACTCACACCCTTTTCCTCCACAGCCATGCCTAGGTAATGTGTGCAGTATGAGGTTTTGCATTGTCTTTTCAAATATGCATGGATATCCCTGGAAAAGATGTCATCTTGAAGGTTACATATTTTGCTCCAAATCTCGGTATTGTTCAGCATTAATGGTGCCATCACAGAAGTGTAAGTTACCTTTGCCAAGGGGATTGACACAACCCCAGACCATGACAGACCCTGTCTTTTGAACTTGTTGCTGGTAACAGTCCGGATGGTCCTTTTCGTCTTTGGTTTGGAGCACACAGTGTCCATTCCTTCCAAAAAACACCTAAAATACTGATTCATCTGATGACAATACACGTTTCCACTGTGTGATGGCAAATCCCAGATGCCTCAAAGCCCAGATCAGTTGACTGCGCTTTTGGACACTGTTGACATAGGGCTTCCTTTTGGCCCAGTAGAGTTTTAAGTGGCATCTATGGACGTAACTACATATTGTAGTGCTTGACACAGGTGTACCAAAGTAATCCTGAGCCCATGTGGTGATATCGCTTGTAAAATATAGAAGAGTGATGATTCTTGATGCAGTGCCATCTCAGGGATTGGAGAGCACAATCGTCCAGCTTAGGCTTGCACCCTTGCCCTTTACGCACCGAAAATCCTCTAGATTCCTTGAACCTTTTAATTATGTTATGCACCTTAGAGGGCGACATATCCAAATGCCTTCCTAGATTTCTTTGAGGGACATTGTTTTTAAACATTTCAATAATTTTATCACCCATATGTTGACAAACTGGTGATCCTTGTTTTAATTTTGATTTTACATACTGTCCCAACTTTTTCTGATTTGAGGTTATATAGCAGCAATGTTTAATTTGAAATATTAGAGTTTATTTAAGGTATTTCACATTTTATGTCAGGGCACACTGAAGATGAAACTAATGCTACCGAGCTAGCGATTTTTAAATCCACATTAAAAACACACCTTTTTAAGCAGGCTTTTGATCTTTAATCTGTTTTATCTGCCTCTAAATGGCATTCTCCACATGTTGTTTTATGTTCTATGATTATCTTGTTGACTGTGTTTGTTTTAGTATTGTTTCAGTCGATAGATATGTCTATACTGTGCATCACTTTGGGCCCTTCTGAGTTGTAAAGTGCTATATAAATG